CGTTCTTTATACTGATCCTCCTTGTTTCGAGCACGGACAGCTGCACGGACGACCAGACCTCGATGGCGTGAAACGATGAAGGGGTGGTGTCAGTGGCTCTCTGAAATGAGGAAGGGCCCCGAAATCTCTCCCTCACGTCCTTTCTCGCCAATCTACTGTCTTGATGGTCATGTACTTGATGAAGTCTCTTCAGTCAAGGATCTCGGTTTTCATTATGACAATAAACTGAGTTTCTCTGAACACTATGCGGCCATCTTCAAAAAGGCGTTGTTTCGTACATATCAGGTCTTCAAGGGTTTGATGATTAGGGATAAAGATGTTCTAATTAAAGCTTACAAAACGTATATCCGTCCCATTGCTGAATGTGGTACAACAGTCTTCTGCCCTCATAAGAAAAAGGATATCCAGTTACTTGAAAAAATCCAAGATAATTTCACTCGAAAACTATTTATTAGGGCTGGTAATGGTACATATGCTCGTGTGCCTCAAGCGAATTTCAGAAATAGAAGTTTCCAATTGCATAGCTTATGTTCTCGTAGAAAAGTTTATGACGCTTGCATGGTGTTCAAGTTGTTGACAGGTATTGCCCGTGTTGATTCATCCAGATTTTATGTCAAAGCAAAATCCAGAACCAGAGGAGGGCCTGAGAAAATTTCATATGCAACGCCAAGAACTAACGTGAGGCTCTATAGCTTCACCTGTCGTGCAGGGTCTATATATACTTCTCTTAAATCTAATGTGGCTCTCGTTACTCCCTCTGTTGTGCTTTTCAAGCGCCTGGCTAGTAAAGATTTGTTGAGCTATGACTAGGTTATATTCAAGTAAGATTGCCCTTATGTGTCGTCTAAATAAATAAATGAATGAATAAATAAATCGCTTCCAGTCGACTTAGCCAGGGATGCCTTTCAGGAATGTCCACCTATTCAAAGCGGTTTTCTGCATCGTATAGGGACACGTGCAAGGAACATTAAACTTCATACTTCTACATACTTCACGTACTTCATTTTTCTAAGCACTCTCTGGATGCCAAAAGGGATGAAGGATTAGCTCATGGTTCGATTCCCCGCGGTAACAAAGTTTTGTATTTTGACTGGAACTTGCATGATGTCGCAATGGTACCGCGGCTAGTAATGGATGCCTTATTACCGCAGGGATTACCAGTAACCCATTTGAGGGGTTTTCATCCGAAACAGGTGGTAAAAGGTTAGGCGAATGAATGCATTTGCCCTATACCATGCAAAAAACCATTCCTAAAAGCGGGGCACGGCTTAAGAGACCCTCTGCCTAGCCTTGTAAGATAAACAGCGGGATGATAGGGAATGCTTTCTCAAGACGGAACTTCACTCGAAAAATTCATGCTTCATAAGTATTTATTCAAAAATATATAATTTGATCTTCACAAAAGAATAAATACTACATATGTACGCTACTTTCATAGATTTATGACGATTTATGAGTATGAACTTTCGATGACTGCGTTTCCCAAAGTTCTCAATGTAATTATCACAATGGCACAAGAATTAGAATCGAGAAAAGTTGTTGGCTATAACTGAGCTCCCGTAATTCATTTTATTTCAAACAATAGGAAGAAAAAGGCCTAGGTAGTCAAAAAGTATCAGGATCACAGACAAAAGAGTCACACATGGGTGTCTTTCAAATAGTTCGCTCAGTGATAGTAGAACACATCTGTACGCTGAGCACTTGCCAGCTCGGTGTCCATGACGGAGAAGGCTCGATCTCTCAGGTGGCTCCGCTGAGGCAGACAAGCTGTGGTAGCCGCACAGCACTTATCCCTGCAACGATGCAACCAGTGGATTCCTCTGATGTAACCATTGTTTATAGAGCAAAGATCGATCTGAAAAAGAGCTTCAAGAGTTTCTTCGAGAATTTTTCTCAACGCCTACCTCTAGTCGGCTACGATATAGCACCTCAGCCACATAAGAGAAGATGGTAGGTTGTTACAGAAAATCGTCGCTCTCCGTTACAGTGATTTCGGGGATCTTGGACGTTGGAGGGGACAACGGCGACGGTGTTGACAGCTGAAACAGTACATCGGATAGTGAAGCGATGAGGACGGTCAGACTTTAGTGGTCTAGAGGAGTTAGAGTGATTGGCGGAGGGCAACCTACCGACTCCTTGAGCGGCTCAATCGAGAGAACAGACGCACACGACGGTGAGCGAGAGTCCCTGCAAAATATTCAAAGATTTTTAGGAATAGCGGGAAGACAGCGGTGGAAGATTCCTCGACATGGGGTCGTGGTTGCCATGGGAAAGGAGTGGGAACGGTAATCCTTTTTGGGAGGAATTTCGAGGGGTCGTGGATCGGGACAGTGGGGACTCTGTGAAGAACGAAATAGCGTGTTTGATGTACGTGAAATTGCTGTTTACAAACCCATAAATCACCCCTTACCCGATGGGATTCGCAGAGTAGTATGAGTGTGTCATGTTGAAATAGGACCAGTGACATGCTGGCATTGACAAGTGATCGTATCAATCATTGAGAAAATAGAAGGGTTTTTATGAAGAAACCCACAGTGCTGCGGCGATTTCTCGACGCCAATTCACGGGCCAGTGAGTAAGGGAAAAGTAACGGCCGACAGGCATGTACCATACAGTCACTTTGTAAAGCTGGCGCGATGCTAATGAACTTAGATGCACACCCCAGGATTAAATTGGGGTGGTTCTTGCCCACGAAAACGAATGTCATGGTGGAATGGGCTTGCAGTGAAAAAAAGAAAACGCCCAGGTTGAGGGTTTGGTCGGATAAACTTGGCGGCCGTGCTAATCGTAAGGCAATAAGAGACTGAGCGTGGAGAAAAGGCTATAAGGAGGGAGGATACAACAGATAAGAGGGCATTAGACAACAGCCTGCTGTGAGGAACACTGTAGTTATTGCAGCTAACTCTGCAGGACCCTAGCTCCCTTGTCGATTGATTTCCATACACGAGAGTGCCACATCGGGGAACACTCACACTTTGACGGAAGGACTGTCCGCCTGGGCCGCGCCTTTATTTGAATATGAATTAATTTTCTTCGGAAACACTACGACTTTTTGCTTCACACTCGTAGCAATGGTTGTCTTCAGCCGGACAAACTGAAAATGTTCGAATTCAACTGTGAAGTTGATTGGCAACAGATTTGTTCAGTTGCTCTTTTTAATCTCAGAAGGGTGGACAGGCTCGAGTGCGAAACGCAGTGCTAAAATGGAACAGGCACAGCTTTCTCGTCATGTCCCATCGATGCTTCTTAAAGTTTCACAAGTGGTGGTGGGTTTTGATTTGAACGCAAAACTTTCGCGCCCAGACGGGACAACCGCCACCCCTTGCTTTCCGGGCAAGTGCGCTACCAGTTACGCTACCGGGACACCATTTCATCCCAACTCAGCTCTTCATGGTATACGTACCATAGCTTTCAGCACTCACACGTATAACGTGTTGAGCCGGTTAGCCGATATCGGCAATGACCGCGAGGCTGAACGCTTTAGCAGTGAATTTTGACCTGCTATTGTTTGTTGACTGCGCTGTTTTTGGCCGCAGTTCGCCTTGTGAGTACTGACAAGCTATGGTAAGTACACCATGAAGAACTGAGTTTTGATGAAATGGTGCCCCGGTGGCGTAGCTTGTAGCGCACTTGCCCGGCAAGAGGTGCGGGTTCGAGTCTCGTCTACGGCGAAACCAGCAACCAAGCATTCTCGTGAAACCTTCGGCAAGCCGAACTACAGCCAAAGACAGCAGTTAACAAAAGAAGCAAGACAGCTTCTAAGAGTGCTTTCTGTTGATCTGATTGATTCCCTTTATCGGCTCCCTTCTACTGAGATTTGCTCTTGCCGGAAACGTTTTGTCATCATGTGTTGTATCTATTTGGACGGCCACTGCACATGATAGAAAGCAAATTTGATTCGAAGATGTAATAAATAAAAATCAATGTAAATAATAGGTAATGGATATGGGAGAGCTCAGATAAGCTCAATAAAATTGCTACGCTTTCCAAAGAAAGTAGTGCATTGTTTCCAACAATGTGGCAGCACAAGCTTTCGGCACCGAGAGAATTCTGGAGCGTGATTGGGATATTCGACAAGCTGTGCCTACCCTGAAAACCAAAAATAGTCCGCCAAAGATAAAAGCTCTGGGCAAGAAAAGTACGCAGGTGTAAAAAAAACCGTAATATGCATTATGGAAGCCCAAACTGTCTCTGAGATTTTTTCATACTGGAGCTCTCTCAATGAATTGCCTTCGGCGTCCGTTACAGCTAGCTCTGACAAATTTTGCTTCTTCATTGTTATTTTTTTCTTTTTTCGCTTTTCTCTCTCGAACTCCACTGCTAACCCCCGGCTGGCTTCTCATCTCATCTTTCCTTTTCTCAGTTTTTAAAATGGAAGAGTTGATCACATGGGCTGGCAGTGGAGTACACGCCACCATTCCTGGATATTTCGTTTAGTATAGTGTGCGTTTCATAATTATAAGGTCAACCTGGAATATTGCGTTTCAGGGACTAGCAGCCAACTGGTAATTTCTCCAGAATGGCCAAATGATTCCCTCTAAACAGCTCTGGCGTCGCATTATTGGCGAGGTCGCAGCTTTTCTTTCGAACTTGTTTTCATAATATTATTATATTTTCGGATTTTGGCACCGGTTCATAATATAGCAGCCCGAGAAAAGAGCAATTACAGTAATATGAAAGGCTTTTTGATTGAGGACCAAACATGGTCCTGACTGTTCGGACCTGAATATAGCTAGCCGCCTTCCTCAGTTTCAAGAGGACTGTGTCAGATGTCCCAGTTTTATTTTTGAAGGCTCAATCCTGAACTCCTGGCGTCTATTATGCAGTAAATGGCGGCGTAATGCGGGCGATAATTTGACCAGGCTCAAATTTCTTTCATCTACCCTAAGTTCTAATCAATTATGCGTTAAAAGTTGTGTCTCCCTCATAGTGAGCCAGTGACCTTCTCGGCCAGGGTGAAAATCGTGTCGAGTACGTGGTCGCAGAGGTACGACCCCCCCCCCCGAAATCGAGATCCTGGCACGACCCCCTCTAACAGAGCAAATTAATTCAATTAAAATAAATCCTGCAAAACAAAAAAAAAAAAATTCTGCAAAATAATGCTAAGGACGCTTCATCTTGTCATCTATGCACGTCTTCCATCGCTGCATACTTTTGTGTACATACTGAAATATCGACTCGAGGAAAGAGGCATTAACTTTGTGTGACCTCAAGGCGAGGTTCGTTCAGAAACGCACAGAAATCCTGAAGACACGGGGTTGCGATTCAATCTTGATTCTTGCTTGAGTATATCAAAACAGCCGAGTGTATCAAAGGCCGATTCAACGGCAGCTGCGGCGCGATTGTCACTGGGTCAGATTTGCCGAAATTTCAAAAAAAAAACGTCCGAATCTACACCCTCGATGAAAAGGTTGCATTCCTCCATTTCACAACCTTTGAAGCAGCTTGAGGTAGAGTTAGATAGAGCTGGATTTCGCGTTTCCAACAAGCATCGAAATTGCTCTGGAAGCCTTCCTTGCAGAAAGATAGGGTCTCTCAAATTTCGTCGAGTAAATGTCGAGGAGGCTGAAATTTTCACGCGAGTTTTTGCCACTTCAAGAGCAATATATCTCTTATATTGTAAGATCCTGAAAAAGGGAAGATAGTTTTGGAAAGCGGAAGGTTTGCGCTTCCTGATGGTCTGTTTAGTTTTCTTCTACAGCTTTTTGGTTGAAGAGATAATTGCGTCGAGGATCTATCGAGGTCGGATCCGGCCACCTGGAAATCCGCTCCCTCATTCACCATTGCAAGTGTGACTCGTTGGCAACACTCGGAATGTGTCTAGAACAATATCTTTGAACGCAAACAATAAGAATAGGAGCAATCGTCATCATCCGATTTGGTATTGGTATAAGCCATGCATCCCTCCTCCACTCACAGTTGCAGAATCGATTGAAAGGTGTTATATGATGGGGACCTTCGAACGAAACTGTATTGTAGTAGACATAGTGTGTTGTGCTATTCCTGTAACCTAAAAAACAACTTCATTTGCCCAGCGCTTTTTCTTCACGGTTGTCGTTTTTCCGACAGGGTCCCTAACAACAGCGTCATTCTCAGCGAGGTATTAAGGGAGAAGGAGCGAGCGATAGGCAGAGGAGGTGCCTTTGCAGCGCGTGCGCACATGTGGCAGTCTTCTTTGCGGGGATGCACTTTCATTCTTTGTACTGCCTTCAAATACGCCCTTCTCATGAAGGTGGAGGAATGGAGCGACTGAACCTGCAAAGAAAATTTAATATCATGTTTTTTTTCGGATGTTTTCATTTTCTGCTGCGCTATACCCTATTACCTATCTGCACCATGATACCACTTCTGTTACTGACCCCCAAGAGTACGACCCCCCATGGACCAGCCCAACAGGTACGACCCCCCTGTCGAGGATTTCCTCGACCGATATTCACCCTGCTGGGCCCTATTGGGCTTTCCCTGAACGAATGTTGCCGCATTTTACGCGCACTCCAGTTATATTTTTCAAGATAGAAACATTAAATTACGCGCGACGCTGATTTCAAGAGGAAATACTGTTTGGGACAGCCCTCATAACTCTTCTCTAATCATTTATAGAAACCTTTTTGTGGATGTTCGAAACTTGTAGAATATCTGGAGACGTAGGAGCTTTTCAATTATCCATGAGCAGAGCTAATGACTGTCCGAAATGCTTTGGAAAGACTCCCGAACCGTGCCAAGCACCATGAAATGCATAAACTTTACCTTTTCTTCAAAAGACGAGTACGAAACATTCCATAAATTTAGCTACTGGGTGTGTTTGTAACAAACATTCAATTTCACAGGCAGATTGGTTGTTTCTCACAATGTATAATATATATATTAGGTCGTGAAGAAAGTTCTTGCGCTTTTCGGTGTTTCGTTTTTGAACGCTTTATTTTGTTACGAATTCAAGCAAGCTGCCAATGAGCTGTATGTGGTTTTGAAGAGCTTTTCTTGTTCTATCTAACAGCTAGGCTAGCTATGTTCCTTATTATTTAGTTGTCATTTTTTGAAGCCTTGAATACGGCATACTCCAAAGAGCAAATTTGCATGATTTCCTTTTTCTAGCTCAAAGCAGGCCAGTATGGAGAGGGAGCAGGTCAAGATATTATAGACGCACTTGGCTGAGATTCGCAATAAATATGGTCTGAAGCAATTGTTCAAAAAGCTTTTGTAAGAATAGCGAGAGCCCTAAAGATTGTGAGGGTGGTGATCGGAGATTGGACACGCCAACGATTAGTCGAACGTTCTGGTTGAAGCACGTTTGCACAAATCTATTGAGAGGGTTCCTCCTAAACTAATCGCACTTGCATTGTGTTTTCTTGTTGTACGGGAAGAGCTGGAAAGTCCAAAAATTCAAATAGGGCGTGCCGCGACAGCTCACCATTTTGAAGGGTCGTTCGCCGCGTTCTAGCTTGTTTCATGCCATGAAAACGACCTGACTTTTTGATCATTTGCGACGCACGACAAAGAACGGATTCTTTGCTACAGAATACGAACCTTTGGTGAAGTGATCGACCGCGATCAGGCTCTACAAACTTTGCAAAAGTGAAACTTCACTGAAGGAAGGTTGAGGTGACTTTCATAAGGTCAGCGGCTGGTCTAGCTTTTCGTAACCAGGTGGATCTGTTAATGTGGAAAAAGTACTCCTGATAATGTGTAAAACTACTCCTAGAACTCTGGCACATATGCTCGAAATTCCTCATTATAAAGGAACCGGCGTCCCTGACAGGTAGCTCGGACGCACATTCCACAACCAACCCTGCAGAAGTTCGACAAGATTGGCTACGAATTAGTCCTGCGAACATCCTACTCGGTAGACCTTTTGCCTATAATTTGTCACTTTCTCGACTACCTGGATAGCTTCTCCAAAGAGTTATGCTTCAAAAACCAACATGATGCGGAAACGACCTCCGCCGGGTTCATCGTCTCTAGAGCTCCAGTATTCTGCACTACCGGGCTGATTCAACGCAGCTATTATTGGCAGAGGTTTGTGGATTCTAACAGTCTTTACTCCAATCAAAAAGGTTTCGAATGAGCCGAGATACAGGCATTTGAAAATCAAGGTCGAAAAGCGCAAGAACTTTCTTCACGACCTAATAATTCACGGGTGAAATTTATAATATGAAAACGGTGCAAAAACAGAAAAATAAGAATAAAAAAGTTACAAGAAAAGCAGCTCTCGCCAAAATTCAGGGGTTTTTCATGGTGAGGAATCAGCTGGTGATATTAGAAAATTACTAGTCTGCTGCTTGTTTCGGAAATGCAAAATTTTAGGGTGACCTTATAATTGTGAAACGCACTGTATGTCCAGGCTGTTCAATAAATATCATCTAACGAAAGGAAGCTTAGAAGCGAAAGAAGCTGGAAAGGTAGGTTACAGTAGAATGAGAACGAACTCGAGAAGGAGCCCACCATGGATCTCATGCATTTCGTGAAAGCACTAGTCATGGCAATAGAAAAGCGATCTCCGTCGATACCGTGGCTTAACCTCAAGACTCCTTGGACAACAAAGGCAGCATTGTTTCCCGAAACAGTTGCCATACTAACCACTTGATTGCTTCATTCGAAAAAGTCGGAGTCTATGGGTTAAAACGCTCCAAATTGGGGAAAACCTTTCTCGCTCCACGGAATCGCTCTCTCGGAAACTACTCCCTCAAGCAACAGCTATGAAATAGTAAAGAGGCCTGTCGAGAAGCTGTCGAAATGGAGCCTTCGACACGATCACTACGCTGTCGTGATACTGGATTTCACTGGAGCGGAGTGACTGGTGTTATCTCTTTCATTACTAAACGGTACTAGTAGGTGGCACCATAACCAAGATTATAAGTTCAGGAACCTAGGACAGTTTACGGTACCCCTACTGACTTTAGGGCGTTAGCCATAAACTTGCAATCTTGTGCACTATGACAGCAAGAAGCACTTAGATAAAGCCACATTGAGCACATCTGCAGAAGGAAAAGGAAGATATCAACGCACAGACATACCTTCTTTTTATGCGCGCCCAGCAAGTGTTCCGCTTAGCTTCTATTGACACGACGCTCAGCGCAGCTGACGAGCTTCGAGGAAGATTTTGCGAAATTCTGAATTGGAAAAGACGTTGAGCTGGAGCGAAAGACGGAGAAGTTCTGACAGAAGCCATGGAGAAGGCATGCGCACTATTACATTGAAAAGCTACACGAAATGTTCTCAGACAGGCACATTCATTGAACCCGAGAACGTTTCGTGCAACCTCGAAGTATGAAGCAATAGGGCTAGAAAGTTTGTTAGTATAAAAGTTCGAAACGGACAGTGAAAAACATCCAACTCTGGCCATGGGTTTTATGTCGTTCATGTTCAAACCGCAGGCCGAAAGTTTGCGATCGCATCTCTTCCTTCATGACTGTCTGTTTCGAGAGTGAACATTTTTGTACACTTTTTTGCTCGAAAAAAAAAACAACAGGTCACTGCTAGCCCACAGTCGATTTTTTGGTGCTCAGGAAGTGCATTAGTGAGTTAGTGAGTGAGGGAGGTGAACGTGGCAGGTGACCAGTCGTTTTGCGGTATTGTGAAGGTTAGGTGATGGCCAGTGCAGACTTGTGCGTGTGCCGGGCGACGAACTCAAGAGCGTCGTGGGTGGCGTGAGTGAACGACTGTCGTTTCCTCGCCATCGCCATCACATGCTGCTGACGCAGTTCCCGATTGATCAGCGCATAAAGCACTGGATTCGCCGCTGAGTTGAAGCAAACCTGAAACCACACGATTTTTCGCAACAGAGGCAACTTCTGAAAAATAAATGCAACGTGAATTCTCCTCATGTGTAAGCTTCTGCTATCAAAAAACATTAGGTCGTCTCACAAGTTTGTGTGAACCTCCAGCCAATCGATCTGTGGCTTATGAGCCAAAAACACTTCCCTACGAACCGTTACCTTGTGCTTAGTAAGTTGTGCTCCAAAACTGGCTATTTTAATAGAGTGAGGGTAAACCCAAAAGGAGCCACTCCTCTATATCTTCAGAAAAAGAATCTACACTTTACTAATTCAAACCTAGTGCAGCTGAAAAATCAAGAGCACATTCTTGTCTATCGGAAAACTTCGTAACAACCTTCTACTCTGGTGACATCAGAAGATTATCCTAAGGGAACATGGAGAACAGTTCGAACTCTGCGGGTTTCTCGACGGGTCGTGGGTCATTACGACCTTATCCGAAACGCTGGTTTAAAGGGGTGCATTGTCTAAGTGAATGGTAAGCTTTCCCAGCAGTTCGAAGAACTGAAGAAACTGAAGAATCTAACATCAGTACGCGACTGACGAGCCACTGTAACCCTGGCGCCGTCAATTCTTCGAACTGAGCCAGAAATCGTCGCTTCGGCTCGTGATGGGCAACACCGAATGTCCTTTTATATCGAGGTCAGTTGTTCGCGAACCATTCCTACATTTTCCTGATCTTTTCGGGTCTGATGGTTGGCAGGCCCTCTCTCATGGTCTTTCCTTTATCCCGGCATCAGTGATTAACTCTACCTTGGTTTCTAGGCTGACGTTTAACCGTAAACTCTTTCAAAATGTGCTAGACCTTTTGAAAGCATTGAATTTCCAGCTCTATTACACGAAAAATGTTTCGAGGCGGCACTAACCATGCACAACTAAACCCTTAACCTTACTAAGCGGGCTGTGTAGTAAATCAAAAGAGTTCATGTGTGTGCGCGTCCGCTGTGCTTGTGAAGGGGGGCAAAAGCTCAGCGTGGTCATTTGAGTCCACAAACACCTTCAAATCACTACTAGTCCCGGCCAAGCTCGTTGCATAGATACTGTAGATATTTATGCACCCTAAAAGTGTATCTGACGTTGGTTGGACATCACCTTGCGACTTTATGCTTGAGTTCGAGTCACAATTGATGTCTAAGTGAGGTTGGGTTCATCGCTTTAAAAGGCCTGATTACGATCACAGCGGACTGCTCTTCACTGCAACAAATGCCACCCTCATTTTTCTTTAGCGGGTTCGAGCGTTTACAGTGCTCTGTCCTCTAACGCAGGACCAGGTCAAAAACGTAGACTTACTAGTGCTTCTCACTACTTCGCTTGATTATTGCTTTGTATCATCTGACCACATTTGCTCCGCCCGCTATCGCGCCCATCACAGGGTAAGGAGGAACCACGGAATAGCAGCATGGTGCACTCCCCTCTACCGCCCGCCGACGACGGCTGCCCCGGCAACACCATGTAGAATGAGGCTGAGTGTGCTCGTTCGGTGTTTTTGTAGCCATTGTGGGTGTTATCACAATCACCACATCAGGTTAGAATAATACGTCAACATGAATATAGACCTTACTCTTGAAACGGTCGTTCTCTCTCAGTCTCTCCTCCCCCACCTCCCCCTCCTTATACCCTCCTCTCCGGCGCATGACAGCGCCATGTTCTCCCTCCCTTTCTCCTCTCCCCCTTCCCTCCCTCTTTCTCTCTCTCCCCTCCCTTCCAGCCTCCCCTTTCTTGCCCCCTTCCCTCTACCCCCCCCCTCCCCCCCCCTCCCCGCTCATCCGGCTGCCACGGCAGCACCATGTAGAATGAGACTGAGTGTGCTCGATCGGTGTGACACACACACACCGAAAAACCGACACACCAAAGTTCTGGTTTATATAATGAAGTGATAATCTTGATTGTCAACACATATTCATGTGCCAATCTGGAGGTTTGCAAGATTGCCACTGTTGGAGATGGGAGAAATGGAAAAATCATTACTAAAGAGTTACCAATAGGTGAGCAACGAAGAACATCGCCGAAAGGGCCGGCGTCATCCATGATACCTGAAGAAATTTTTTAAAATTTGATGAAAATTGGATGTAAATAGAAAGGCTTACGCGTATAACGTTGAACTGAGACATCAAGTTCAACGTCCACTGCGGCGTCCAACAAAGGAAGTAGAAAAGAATGACAGCGACTATACGTTTTGTTACCTGTAAAATAAGGTGTAACCTCGCTCAAATGGTTCCTATCTCGTTTCCGATGTTTTCCTATTACTTGTGAAGGCAGGGCTTGTCGATCTTGTCCAAGATATGTTCCGGATATGCTCCCCAAAATTTTAGTGGTAGCAATTCTTCCTTGTGTTTATGAAAGTTGATATGTTCGCTATTTTTGGTCTTGCTTGGTCTTATTTAAGTCGAAATTTACGAAGGACAGAATGATACATAAACAATTGCGGCTCAAAACGGCCGAGCCCTATGCGTCTGAAAGAAGAAAAAAAGAAGCCGGAAGAAACGTGCTTGCCATCAATGTGTAACCGTGTTAAAGGCACGGATCGCAATTGCATCATCAGAGGAATTTCTGCCTGAGCAAGGCAGCAGGACACCTAATCACAGGGGTGGTGGTACTGTCGCGACTTCATAGTGCGCGACAAGGGATCTAATGCCCTCGTTTGACCGCTGCGACCGCTGCCATCCTCGTCAATCGCACTTCGTGTCTGTATCTTCTCATGTACGACGTGTTTTCCCTTCACCTCCTTGTGTCTCTCGGTCATGCTACGACCAACGTCACAGGAGAAATTTCAGTGTTCTCTATGGTGCTTTTTAATTTCCCTCCTTTAGTGTTTCTCCTCGCCCCTGTCTAACACTGTCAAGATTGCCGATCCAGTGGGTGGTCAGCGTACTCGTGTCTCGGAGTTCCAGTCAACTCCCATAACCCCTGAAGTGGCGCAGAAGGTATGATGGTCGTACCAGATTCTAGACTCAGGTTCCCATAGCTTCGTGTGACTTCATTTGCGTGACGATACTGTTTAGACTGAAATATTGTATTTCCCGTTTGGGAAGCAGTTTGCTTGAACGCCTTCTTCTTCTCAATTCGTCCTTTTTCATTAATAATTCGCCTTCATTTTTCGAGATTTGTCAACTTCCTACTCTTAATGGCAGCGTAGTGTAGTTCTTTCAATTGACAATGTCACTTTTCTGAGTCATTTCCGTCAGTTTCCTCTTGCTTGCAAATGACGCGCCATTGGACGCATAATTAAACAGGTAAATAAACAAACAAGTATATAAATAAATAATTGCGAACGAAATAGCACAACAATTCGATCTCGATCGGTGCTTTTCAAAGCAACAACCGAGGATAGGTCCATCCAAATGCATAATATTCTTTGAAAAGATGCACGGGCCCTAGTTGAGATGGTAGCAAGTGCAGGAGGTGCATAAAGTGCACTCCAAAAGTTGCCGTCAGGCGTCAAATAGTTACCAAATGCTAGTCTGTCCGCCCACTGGTCCCTTTGGGTACCCCCCCCCAGGAGGCCCGTCGCGCGACAAGAAGGCGAGTCAGCGGACGAGTTCCGCGCGTACTGTAGGGATTTCGCGTCAAGTTAAATAGAATGTTCCATTGTACGTCCTACATCGCTCACTCGTCCGCGACTCTGCCTTCTTGCCGCGCGACGGGCCTCCTGGGGGGTACCGGTCGCTTTGTCAGCCGTGGAGATCGCGTGATTGGTTACGTGGCCCTGTGCGATTGAGTGTAAACAAGGTCCATGCGCGCTTCACGACACTGCTGAATGGAGCCAACAAATTAAAGAAACTCGTCCAGACACGCTCTTTGCTCATCTCAAGGTGGAAGGGAGGGGATCATTCTCAAGAATTTGTATGTTCTTCAACTTTTTTCCGTTTTCACTCAATCCGGCATCCGGAACTTGGAACTCATCTCCCGGCTTCTTCATAATTATTCAAATTTTAAGCCTTCTAGACGAAAACATGAGTAAAGGTAGAATTTCCATACTTGCTGAACCCTCAAAGTGGAAGGGTCTCTTCTCCCTTGAGCAGCAGTAAGTGTTCGCCCTCCGTGCATGTTTCGAGTAGATTTTTGCACTTTGTAGATAACCTAAAACAGCTTTTGATTATCTGTATTTGACAGCTTGAGATTCTAATTTTACCCGGGAGTAGAATAGAGTGATGAGCATTGCCGGCAGGGCGAAACCAATCATGAACGTGTAGAGTGTGAACATTGCGTCCGAATCGAATACACACTTTGATATGGTAGTCCCTTGCATATCTGAACTTAGGATCACTTTCACTCCTACATTCGCTTACTGACATTTTTTGAGCAACATAAAGATGATAGCTCTCGAAGAGTGCGTACCTGAAAGACGCAGTTCTTCAGAGTGTTCCGAGAGCGGAATCATACTCATTTTGTTGATTCTGAAGACACTCGACTGGATCAGAACCGGTAGCAGCAGGACAACGGCGAGAAGCGAGCACGTGAGCAGCACCAATAAAGCCACACAGTTGCTGCGAACCCTTGATGAAGTGAACATTAAATGTGCAATATAGTGATATTATGTTGTAGTCACCCTCATCAAATATGAAACAATTCGTGGATCTATCGTGAGTTCAAAATTCTCCGATCAATAAGCAGATCAGAAACAAGAAGTAGCAATCACTCCGAAGAAAATCGAGTGAGTGAATAATAAGCAGTAGAAACACATTGCACGCCTACATGGCACATTGAATGGGGTTCAGCCTCAGAAGCGCTGAATGCACTGGAATCGAACCCCATGCAATGTGCGATGTGAGGGCGCTTGGAGGAAAAAGTATTCAGCCTCGATCAGTCCCTCGCTGGGATGCGCCACGCTTTCATGTTTCCATACAGTTCTGTATCAATTGACCGACTGGCTGTTCATGCTCAGAGGTGATGTGGTGGTAATGAGGTAGTCCGGAAATCAGATCTTGGATCGTGAGCCGTTCAGCCCTCCCATCGGTCGATTGGTTTCATATCCGCTTGAGAGAATGAAAACACTTATTTGGACATCGACTGGCTCCCACAATCCATCGCATGGGCCATCCCGCATTCAAATGTCACCACAATTCTGAATGAAAGTAGCAATGGAGTTGGCGCACCGCGCCGTTCGCAAAGGATCGAATCAGGGTCAGAAATTTTCATCCTTTGTATGTAAGCAAAGGGCCATAAGCATCTAGAGGCATCGATAGGGAATCTAAACCTAACAGCTGGGCTATTCAGAAACAAACCTCGAGAAAATCTTGGCAGAAGAAATCCGTCTCGGACCCTCACAAAAACTACAGACCCACAGATACACTGCGTTTCATAATTATAGGTCCACCCTCAATTTTTGCTACTCCAAAGTTGCTGCGCATTTTTGGGAAATGCCGCTATTACCAAAAGTTTCCCCATAACGAAAAACCTTGATACTCGATTTTTGGAGAAATCTCGATTCAGAATTATTGAAATATCTTTTTTAGAACGTATTTTCACCGTTTCGCAAATATGACTACACATCACTTGTCGAGAGATTTTACTATAACGAAAAAACGTCACGAATTTTCAATAATGGGATGACCCCCCAATAATCATAAGGAACACAATAATACGTTTTGAAATGCTGGTAGCCAAATTAGCTATTACAGTAGGATCGAAATTCGTCTGGGCGCCGATGATCGACCTTTTCAGCTTTTCGGCTGTTCCATTTTGCTTTACTTTGCTGTGGAACTTTATAACAATTAAGGCCCAATGATTCTCTATTGGAATCTAATTCAGATAACATGGTGGCCACCAGATAACTGCCACATTTTTTCCTGCAATTCCATCTGGCGCGGAGGGACCGGCATGGACAGCCGCGTTATCGTGTGTGAAAATCAAGGATAGAGGGGATCCTTGTTGAAAAAATGGTAAGACTCGCTTCGAAAGAACTTCACGATACCCTGTGGAATCTTTGTGAACGGAAACAAAAGCGAGCTCTAGCTACTCAGTCGTTCAAAGGTGCCTCAAACCATAAGGGATTCACCGCCGAAATTACGTTACATTGAAACCATCTGCGATTTTCACGCGATCATCCTGTACCCTCTTTTTCTGCCATATCCACACTAGAATAAACTTTTCCACGTCGATCTCAGACCACCTGTAGAACGAAACAAGGAGGTAGAGTCCAAGATCGCGAAGGGTCTTAACAGCCACACCATCGCTCATTAAGTTGAGCCCTTTTCCACGGAGAAATGGAGACTTGCGATCTTGTAGCGCTCAAATAATCTTGGAACGCTCTTCATCAATCCGTTGAAGATGTTATTGCTCTGCTGGCTGGCTTACTCACCACACGGTGGTTTTGCTCACGGAAGGCCGCATTTCAGTACGGACTTTGTTCGGACTCCTTGTATAATTCGAGAGAAGACACCCAATTCCTCCTAAATTTTGAAGGAAACGCAGTCTTTATTTACCTAAGCGACTCTTCTCTCCGCACTGACCAGGATTTTGCACATAGTCGCTTATGCAGTATGAGCCGGCCGACATGGGAGGAAATTCTGCTCCTCAGCTATCCCACTTCAGTAAGTGCTCTAGCTTGAGCTTGTTACTGGGAAGAGAGGCGAATAACACGAGGTATGGTAAACTCGATGTCGACTGAGCCCACATATTTCCCCGCTTCCCTGATTCCCTTCACGGATCGTGAGAAATGGAAACTTTTTATGAGTGGCCCGATATTCATGAAACGGTGAAAATTCGTTCTAAAAAAGTTAATTGGGTTACTTGAGGGGGGAATTTTGTCAGAAAAAACACTATGAAGGTTTTCCGTGATGAGGAATCTAACGGTGATAGCAGCATTTCCAAAAAATGCACAGCAACTTTGGGGTAGCAAAAAATTTAGGGTGGACCTATAATTATGAAAACGCATGATTCGACTCGCTGAAGCTCACATCGTTTTTCTCAATGACAACGTTAACCTTACAAGGCTTAAAATCTTTACTTTTACCCTGCTGAACCATTATCCTGTCGCAATTAGTACACTGTTTGTCTACAGCTCTCTCATAAGGGTAACTATTTAACTTGGTTCCCTTCAGTTGGCAAGCTAGCCTAGTACGTCTGACTTATGTAATTTGTCTTTCGTTTTTTTTTTGCAAGGCAAAGTGCATATTTCTTGTGCACAATACACCCTATTCCATTTATGGGCAAAATTTACGGCAAATTTCTTGCAAGCCAGAACCTCTAGCTCACACAATTGGCATAAATCAAAGCACATCCCATATTTTCCAAGAAACGAGATTTCCAAGAAATTCGTTCCAAAATTGGACGCGTGGAAAAGGTGGTATTTCTGAATTAGAAATTCATACATTCTGCTCGATTTAAATGAAAATTAATCGCTAACCAAATGTCAAGGTTTGGAAGCTACCGTGTGGCTATCGCTACCGAGAATGCTGTAATGTGCACTGGTGGTACTTTGGCCGAACTACATACGGAACCCAGCAGCTTAACGAGGTAACCGAAACCAGCCCTTTTGCCGTTTCTGCTGGGGCCGTAATCCTGAATGTTGGGAAGGGAGTGGGTCCCCGACAGGTCGACAGACTACTTCAACTCGGTCGGTACGGTAGGAGAGCGATTGAAAAAAGTGGTGCAGCTAGGTCTAGCAGCCCTCACCCAAAAGGGTTTCGGTGTTGGCTTATCCCAGGACTAAGCTTTGGAGAGGGGTGAGAGACTCAGGTCAGTCCTCTCTTTAAGGCTTTGTCCTGAGGTGAGACATCATATTGAGGCGGTTTCGAGGACCGTGTTGAAGTGGTCCGTCGACCGTCGGGACCCCATACCCTTCTAGACATTCAGCATACTGCCCCAGCAGAAAAGATAAAAGGGCTGATTGCTTACTTCCAGCTTAACACAGATAGAGCGTGGCTAAGCTGCCCTGGGGCGTTTCTGACACCTGTATCTGGGTTTGAAAGCCTCCTTCGCGTGGGCCGATTCGCTCTCTAGATGAAGGAGAACCGAGTTGCTATATTGTCTTACTATTACATTATTCAGAGTAGTAACAAATTATATTATGTGGAGGTAAAATCTTCGCATGCCGAAGGGAATACTTATTCGCAAACGTCTCTGATTCCGTGATCCGAACACGCGGCACATCGCGGCAAAAGGCGCACTGGACGACGGGCCATTTGACACAGTACGTTTGTTTTGCTGGATTACTTGAGTAATAACAGCTGGCTTTGCTCGAAGGCACACTCCAGGATGAGTCCAGGTGGATGAATCTTTTTAGTGGGTTGAATAGAGCTGTGCACGAAGATCGCAGGTGTCCTGGTTTCCCGGCTCTAATGTGGGCAACTACGGCGCTTGGGAGCTGCAAATACCGCTTCGACCGCTTACATTTTTTCTCGTTCTCAGTGTGCTGGTGCATGCGCTCTCCCCATCTAGTGTGCTATCTCGCCTATCCTCTCTCCTCCGCACATATTCTCTCATTTCCTTAGCAATAAGCAAACAAGCCCTTAACCTGAGCGTTTTCGACGGATTCTTTTCCTTTTTTCTTCACTGCCGGCCCTCTTCACACCAATGCATCACATTCGTGAGCAGGACCCACACCAGTTTGATTCTGAGACGTGCCTTGATGACTGCCTAAAGTCCTTTGCGCTTTCTTCCACGAATCGACTGTCCGTTTTTCTTCCATTCTTAGGACTTATGGCAGACAAAAAGCTGGCTAATCCCAGCCGCCAGTCCGGCAAAGGGCACTGCTGACGTTCCATTAACGTGTGCTGAGGCTTTGTTGCAAAAGCATTTGATCGAATTACATGCATCTTTGCCTAAGTAAAGCGTAGTCGTGGGCGTGTCGAAGCTTCTAAAAGCGTGGCATTCCACGAGGCAAAACAACGGAGCTTTCGCTTTTGTGCCTTGAGAAGATGCGATTTGGTTAAAATTGAGGATCACGTCTTTTCTAATGTATTCGAACGTTGAGAAATCGAAATGAAAAAGAAAGAAAATGAAAAAAAAAGGAAAAGAAAGCTCTGGGAAATTGAGCAGTGCTTTGGCTGGTGTGGAGGACTCGAACATGGGTGCAGCTCAAAGCCTTCCAGTACTTCGAATCTGCATGATGGTATAAGGTTGTCACCATAATCAGTGAATCACTTTATACTTATTGCTATTAAAAGTCAAAGAAAAATGATGAAGGCGTGAAACATGTTTTGCGAAGTAGCATCCACATTATCCTTAACTGAGCAATGCACTCAGACCCATATTAACTCCGTGCTGCCTTCCGGGCTAATATGTTCAATTTTTTGAAAGCTGTTTTGAACCTCCTCCCTCATCACTTCTGATCTCTTTCGACGCTCCCGACAACATAGAGAATCAACCATAGCGGATAGGCGAGGGCACGCTCCCTCAATCCGCGGTCTACTTGTAGTTCACTCTATCGAGAGGTTGGCTTTTTGAGTTGAAGATGACCCACACTCCAACTACCCCTCAAGTGGCAATCTCACTGCTGTACCCAGCGCCACTGAGGGTGGATCTGGACAAACTTGTCGCCATTTGCTGGAGCATGTCCGGCTTAAAACT